TATTAAATCACGGTATTTTTTTTTATCTTATCTATAATATGATGGGCTTTTTCCTGATGATAATTGAATTCATATAGAACTGGGATGAGGTGGAACTTGCCAAACATAAGTACTTTAGGAGCATGGGAAGATTCATTCTAGTACTTTGGTTATATCTGTGTATATCCAGGTCCATGCAAAATGTTTACTGATTTTGGGCTAAAAAATACTAGTAGTCCTGTTAATCTCATTTGCCCCCCCCCCCTGTCTTACTGTTAATTTCTTCTAACTGAACTTAAATTGGTTGAAAATTTAAATAAAAGAAATGTATCCTCGATAGCATGTTGTAGTGTTCCTTGTTATGAATAAAGAATGCCAATTAGTGATTTTAATAATTCATGATAATCATTAATGAATGTAGACTTTGAAGTTTGAACCATAGGACACTAGTTGCTCTCTTGTTTCTTCAGTCTATATTCTCCTACCTTCACTGATCTTAAATTTTTTTATCCAATCTGCCAGGTAGACATGGATATGGAAGATGATTCTGGACTGCCAGAGCAAAAGCCCGAGAGGAGCATAGTACATCCTGCTTTGAACAATGGACCCGAAGGTATACATTAATTCCTTGCTTCTAATACTTAAATAGGAATATTTAACTCTCTGAATTACTTTATCTTTATGGGTACATCTTTGCCACGCAACCTTTTTGTTCTTTTGGGATATATGTGCACTGCAGCAGAGATGGTAAACTGGATTGAGTCAGGTTTGGTAGTTTCAAGTTTTCAGGTAATTGGAGGTCTCAATGTAATTTTTGAGCAGTTGGTCTAGTAAGTTGCAGAGGGTTAAGTCAGTTTTCTGGATGTTTTTACCAAGATATAAAATCTATTTCTTTGTGAGAGAGAGGACAAGCTTTCAGAACTCATTTCCGGGGAGGCTTCTCTCACCTCTTTCTTAGATCCATCAAAATTTTCATTTTTAACAAGTGATAAACATGTAAATTGGATTTTAATTTTCTGCAATTCCACATTTTAGATTCTTCAAATGATGGAAAGAGATGGGATGCAGAAGGGAGCCGTCCAACAGAAGTGAAAGAGTTAAGCAGGAGCAAATGGTCAAATGATCTAGAGGAAGATGACAGAGAATTTTCTGATGGTGTAAGGGGTAATCTAAATGCCCTCTCTGGGTTGATCAAAGCGTATGGGAAGGGAGGAAAATCTGTTCGGTGGGGTGATCAGGTATTTATTGTTTTGGAATAATAATACTTAGTAATTTTTTGCTGATGTGCAATATTGCATCTGTTTCATACTTTGAAGCTTGCTCACGTCTTGACTGTTCAGTTTTTCTGTGAACTTGTTAGCTTTTTGCTTCAAGAGGATGAAAGATAATCATTGAACATTTTATTGCCTATTTAACAACTCATTTGAATGGATCTGTAGGTAACATCTGTTTTCAGAAGTTATTGGTGATTTCAATTCATTTTTGTGCATGTTAATTTAGCCTGGTGGAAAAATCAATATTTTTTTAGTTACTGCAGTTGCGTTGTTTTAAAGTCACATACACCCTCTTGCCGACCTGGTCTAATATCCCTCTCATTTTAACTTATAAAAAAACTGCAATCTAGAGTCTTCCGATGGGACATGCTGTGTATGCTTTAGACAATATGACTGACCTTATTTTTTGTTCAATAAGAGTCTATAAGCCTTTCAACAGTTTCTAAATCTTTTCTACACATTTGGTAAACAACCAAAAGCTTATAAATCATGCAACTTATAAGTTCATCAATAGTTTTTTTTTTTTTTTGAGATAAAAAGTATAAGTTCATCAATAGTGTTTTGAAAACTTTTGGCTCCCAACTTTTTTTTTTAGAGAGCTTACTCTAAAAAATGCTATTGTTAATGAAGTAAAATACTTAGCTATCCCTTAGTTATTTATAATATTTTAATTTTTGTTGCTTACAATTCATGATGTACTGTTATAAGTTCCTGTAAAAAGGTGAACTGAACACCTTATTATTTTACTTAAAAAGTGAGACATATTCCATGGAATTGTTTGGGAGGAAAATATGATGGAGTAAGCTGGAAAAAAACAGGAGGTCCTTTTGCCGACAGAAAAACAATGTAGTTACTTTGATGGAATTTGAACTAAGCAGAGCAGTATCTTATGTTTGATGAATGATTTATATTGTCTCCTGGACATTCTAGATGTGTGCTAATGATCACATGTGGTTACAAGTTTGGCCTTCATAATAGAGTTATCTGCTCTTTATGATTGCATGATGGCTGGAGCCAATGCAAGTGGGATGTCATATATAATTTCTGTATGACTATTCTTATTTCAAAAAAAAAGTTCTGTATGACTATTCTGTTGGGTGCAATGTCGACAGAAATGCAGTTGTCAAGGGATGTTGACAGATTGAATTACCAAATTATAGGCATCATCACTATTAAGCGACAAGCATGCCATGCCATGTCATGTCAATGTGACAACCAAAATATTGGAGTTTTCAGTTTTCCTTTTATGATTTGAAATGTTTTCACTTGATTAGTTCTTCAATTTCAATTAAGTGATTTTTACTATCCTGCTGACCAATTGAGTTTGCCTCCATTTCCTTCAGGGTGCTAATACTGGATTTTTTATTGGCGCTGCCAAGAAGGCAAATGTGTTCTCTTTAGTAATTGGACCTGGTGCCGGTTACAACTCGGTAAGTAAGATAGATGTCGTTTCAATTTTACATATATAGATGGCCAAAGAAACAAAAAGTATTTTATCATGATATCTTTTAATGCCAAATAGCTTCGTTATCCAAACAGAATAGTTGAGTTTTCAAGCATGTGTAGTCCAACCAGTAGGTGTTATGCTTTTTATGGATTGGTAATTTGTATTGCTTTCCTGGGTAGCCAGATTGATGCTATCATCCGACAATAATAATCTTGTAAGATGTTTTTAACACTTGCAGAAGTCTAACCCATTGCATGAAGAGGAGAGCTCAACATCAACTAATAGCATTGGGAAGTCCAACAAGCGAAGTATCTTCCAGGAGCAACTGCGAGCAGAGCGAGAATCCTTCAAGGTTGTTTTTGATAGGAGAAAACAGAGAATTGGTGGGCTTGATCTGGACGATGAGTAATTTTTAGTCTTATAATTAGCAGTTTTGGATATCTTTTGTATCGTTCTTTCCAGCTTTCAATAAGCTGTTGTTGTAATTGTGTAGAGAAGAAAAAGTGGCCTTCTTCGATTTTGTAGTCTGGACAATCTTTTGCAGATTTTGAGGAATGCAAGACCAAATCTCAATTTCTGTTGAGGTTCATGTCAGTCTTTAGATTTGGGATGAACATATCTCTAGATTTTCTTGTACTTAAAAAAGAGTGTTTTGTAATAATCACCTTAGCAACAGCTTGCAACCCTCTCCAGTCTGTTTATATGTAGTTTTAATATGGTTTTAGTTTGGTTCAGGTTGGTAGTTTTAGGATGATTTAAAAGTTTTCTCAAATGAAAATTATACATATACATGTATGTATGTGTGTGTGTGTGTACTTATAAAAATAAGTAATGACCATTATTAACACATTTCGTAGCCTTATTTATCTTTAAATAGAAAATAAAATTTGATTAAATTATATAATTTTTAAATTATAAAACTAGAACAAAGCAATACTCAAAATTATAATTTGAACAATAATATATAATTTCAATAATTATATAATTGATGAGAGTTGAGTTTGTTTTTTTTTATTAGTTGAAAAAAAACAATATATTTAATTTTTTTAAAATATTAAAATAAAATTTAAATAATATTCAAAATTTATAACTTATAATTTACAATTTAAATAACAATTTAATAAAAAAAATATTATACAGTATAATTTATCATCATCAATTATGATTTTTTGTTATCAATTTAAGATCTATATATTTGAATTATTTAGCTCAGCAGAACCCAAATTTTTTTCATTATATATACTAATTTAATGTTATGTATCTAACAAAAAAATATGAGAAAAAAAACTCATAAAAGATAGATTTTATTTGAGATCAAAGAATTTAGTCATGGAATAAAAAATTTATTAAAATAATATTGAATCAGAAATATAATTTTTTTTAAAATTCAGATTATTATACCAAATTTTTTTACTGAAAAGTTTGCAAATAGTAAATTAATGGATGATTTTTTATGTGTATTTTATTTTAATCTTCAATGGATTTTTTCTTCGCTTTGTTTCTTACTTTTTAAAGACGAACAAAAAAATATTATATTTTTCAATTGATTATATAGTTTGTCACATAATATAAAATATGTTTAACATTGTAAAGTTACATAATATAAAATATGATACAACATTCATACAACTAAGAAAAAAAAAATAATGTTCCAACTTTTCTTGATCATAAATTTTAGAAGAGTTAATAATATTTTGAACATTAATAAAATATGTTATTAATGTCGCAGAAAATTAGAGGGAAATGTTTGAAAATTTTAAAACAATAATATTTTTTAGTCTTTGTCAAAAAAGGGAGACAATTGCTATAAATATAACAAATTTTAGCAAATAAAAAAGATATAATTTTGCTTGAAAATCTTTTATCTTTCTTTCTAAAGGTATGATTTTAGCTATCCCTTCATGGAAATATGAAAGATTTTAGGAGATTTGTTAAACTAATTTTTAACCAATTTTTTTTTCTTTATCATGTATATATATTCATATTACTAGTACAAAATCTTTACATGATATTAGAATATCAATCTTAATTATTTTTTGTTCGTGCCATTACTTAGCTAACACGGCTAAAGGAAATTTTAGCCGAAAATTCTATTATTAAAATTTCCAACATTGACATAAAAATAACTCTTAATATTCGACTTTAACTAAAGAAGGTTATATGAATAAATTCTCTAGATGTAATGATCCGAAGGATCTAAGAATACGTTGATTATATAAGTCACTATATGGTTTTAAACAAACCTCACTTAATTAATATTCCATTATTAGATGTAAGTGGGTTTATAATATCAAATATAATGCAAATGGTACCATTGAATACTCTAAAGCATGCGTGGTTGCAAAAGGCTACATACAAGTTGAGAATCTTGATTTTCATGACACCTATGCTCTTACGGCTAAATTGGTCAGTGTTTGATGCTTCCTTATTGTTGTTGCAGCATGTAATTGGGAGTTATATCAACTAAATGTAACTAATGCTTTTTTATATGGTGACCTGACTGAGTAAGTTTATATGGATAAAACCCCTGAATGATGATCTGAGTAGTTCAAGAGTATGTTGATTATATAAGTCACTATATGGTCTTAAACAAACATTACTTAATTGATCTTCCAAGTTTTCTAGTGTTCTTCTATATTATGATTTGAAGTAATCTAAGGTGTATCACTCTCTTTCATTTTTCATCAAGGTAACATCTTTCTTGCTATTTTAGTTTATATAGATGATCTTATTTTTGCTTGCAACAATTCTCTTAGCTGCGAAAAATTCAAGTAATATTTATACACTTGCTTCAAATTCGAAATTTTTGTCATTTGAAATATTTCTGAAGTATGTAAGTTGCATAGTCACCTTTTGATATTTCCTTATGTAAATGAAAGTACACTCTTTATATTATTCAAGAATATGGCATGCTTGGAACTTGACTAGTTTTTTTTTTTTTTTAAATATAACAACAATATTATTTATTAATTATTTTATGCCTACTTATTTATGATCTTGACTAGTATCTATGTTTTATTGGCTGTTTACTTTATTTTACCATAACTCAACCTAACATCACATATGTTGTTCACATATTCAGTCAGATTTATGCAAGATCTTAGACAACCTTATTTTTATAAGCAATTTTTTGCATTTTCTGCTATCTTAAGTAAACTCTAGGTCAACGTATTCTTTTGTCTTCCTCAAGTGATTTCTTTCTTTGAGTTTATTGTAATTTGGTTGCGACAGTTATCTTATGACTCGACACTCTGTTACTGGTTTTATTTTATTTTTTTTTTCAACTTCCCCAATATCATAGAAAATTGAGAAACAAATTTCTTTCTCTCGTTCCTCAGCCAAAGCTGGGTACCGATCCATGATAACTACAACTAGTGAGCTTCTTTGGTTTCACAATTTTCTTCATGCACTTGGTGTTTCCCATCCTCGACTTATGCAACTTTATTACAACAACCAAATTGCCTTATATAGTAGTGTCAATCTTGTCTATAATGAGCACACCAAGCATATTAAAATAGATTTTTATTTTGTTCCATATTGATCACAATCTAAAGATATTATTACTTCTCGTATTTCGATCACTCTTCAATTAGGAGAAATTTTCACCAAAATTATAGGTTGTGATCAATTTTATTTTATTTTATTGAAGAAGTTGGGCATTCTTGATATCACGTGACAGCTTGAAGAAGGGTATTAAGACACAGTTTTAACAATTCATATGTTTTTTTTAACAGTCAGTTCATATAAATAGATTATGTTTAAAAAAATTTACTAGACTAATTTTTAGTCATTTATTCCCTATATTATATATATATTTATATCAAACTAATAAAATAGTTGAATCGGTACAGTCTTTACATTTTTTAGTGATCTCATTTTTTCAAGATAATTGCATGTGGAAACCATCTATTTTCAAGTCATTAATTATTGTTTTGTTTGAAATAGCTTATTCTCCTATCTAATGATTTTTTTATTTGAAAATAATTCTCATATGCAATATGAAGAATGTCAATTCTATTTGATTACTACGACATTGTTATCCAAATTCAATTGATCATAATATTTCGTTATTATAATGTTTTTTATTCCAATAATATATCTTCGACCGCACAACTAACTTCTTATTTATCATTTAATTTTATTTTTATAAAAAAACAATGTCCAATTTGTATAGTTAGAAGCATAAAATTTGTGTTTTTTCAATAAAAAGATTAGAAGCATAAAATTTATTTTATCAAATTTCCAATTTGTATAGTTACTGAAAAATTACAATTAGTGTATTTTTAAGTTAAGAAATAGTGTAGGAGTTGCCAACATGCTATGTCTTGCCTTATTTGAGTTAAATAACAATTTTCTATTAACTTTAATAATTTTTTTTGTATTTTGCTTCATTTGATATCTTTATTTTCATAGCAACAAATATAATCTCTATTTATATCTTATTAGAAATTTGTATATTTAATAACTAATTTATATATACATATATATCAACAATAATATAATTAATTTTTTTAAATAATAAATTGAAACATCCATACACCTAAGTACCATTGCCTTAATAACTTTTAAACTCAAATCTTTGGCTAAAAAAATTAAAGTTTAAATTATTAGTAGTATGCAATTTGAGTTCTTATATGAAATTCAATAATCATATATCTTTTTAATTCCAATATGAGACTGAGATATCACAGTTTTCAACACTTAAATTCTTAATCTATTTATTACACCAACACATTACACAATCAGAAATCACAATTCAAAAAATTCACAAAATCTAAAATCGTATTAGTCAGAGTCACGAAATAGGTGAGTGATTTGATATCATTTATAATGCCCTAATCTAAGAACTACTAGTCTAATAATTTTTTAGATCTAAACTGCCTATAGTTAAAAATTTAAACTCAAATTGTTGATAGTATATGAGTTAGAATTTTTATATAGAGTTTAATAATCGCATATCTTTTTGATGTAAGACTAATGTACTATAGTCTCCACTCGTAAGTTTTTAGTGTACTAATTCGAGTCATACATCACATCCTCACAAATCACAATCTCAAAATTCACAAAATTGAATATGGTACTAGCTAGAATCACTAAACTATTGTATAATTTAATATCATTTGTCATTAATGATACTAGACTCAAACATTACTACTCTAATAACCTTATATATCTAAACATACAATTAAAAGTTTAAATTATAATTATTGATAATGCGTGAGTTAAACTCTTATACGAAACTCAATAATCAGATATATTTTCGATGTAGAACTGAGTATCAAAATCTCCAATATAAATTTTTGATATACTCATCAATATCACACATCACATAATAAAAAATTATAATTCGAAAACTAATAAGATTTAAGTTCATAACTAAATTAGTACGTACCTTATTACTATCCAAAATGTATCTGAGCGTAAACTTCATTGACCCAATAATTTTCTTGATCAAAACCACTAGTTTTTTAAAATTTAAATTTAAATTATTAGTTGCTTGTGATTTATATTTTTATAGAACTCAAAAGATTACATATTTTAGATATATAAAACCATAATGATTAACCTTATAAAAAGAACACATTCAGAGCGAACAATTAGAAGCAATCCATACCCTTGTAAAAAAGAATTGAAATACCAAGGAATGGGTGGTATTATCTCTATTTAATACAAGTAATTTGAGACCACGAATCAACAACTCTTTACTGTTCTTACTTTTTTTGTCCTTAATCGCAACGGGCTCTATAAAAGCTCGAACATAAGTTGTCATCAGGAAAGTCATTGAAGGAAGAAGATATACATATATATATATATATATATTTACATATTTATATATTTATATACATATATATATGTATGTACACAAGTACGAAGTAATCTTCAGCAGATAGCAGTGCAAAGAGTTGCTATCTTTCTTCTCTCCTCTCCCGTTTAATCATGGCAACCGCTGCAACATCAGGGCATTGTCTTGCTCGTTTTATAGACTCGGAACCACCGAAATGTAACTTCTCTTCTTGCCAACAATTACCAGTCAGACAATTAATCCACGTGAGCCACCCGCTACCTCCTTCTTCATCTCTGTAAAAATGAATTAATGTTCTTGACAGACTTCTTTTGTTACTTGCAGCAGAGATACCAGTCCTGTTGGTTGTCCATGAATGGCTGCCAAGGAGACCCCAGAGTCCCCATTGGAACCATTGAAACTCGTACTTTCTCTTCAGTTCTATCTCCAGCATTAGCCATGGACACGCTCACTTCAGCCATTCGTCACTTGAAGTCAAACCCACGTCCTTTTACCTCTGGAATCATACGCCTTCAGGTCCTTCTTCATCTTCTTCTTCACACGCCTTGTTAATATTTCTTGGAGATAATAATATTGTAGCTTCTTATCTCTACTGGGTGTCTGCCACGTGGTTGGTTGGTTTTTCATTCGCTCTGCACTGACCACTAATATGAAAATTCTTTTATTTATTTATTTACTTTTTTTATTTTTTGTTCTATTGGGATGTTAATCCTCATTTGCCAGTCCCAATTTTTTATGAAGATAAAAAAGAGTTGGATAAGAATCTGATGCTTTTTCAATTTGGGAGTTGAAGGTGCCAATTCAATGCAGAATAGATGCAATTGATTGGCTCCACGCCCAGTACGGACTTCTTCCCCACTGCTTCTTCTCCGGTCGAAGCCGGGCCGGTAACTCTGATCGTTTCTTGGACTTCACTAACGGAACCCAAAACGGCCACAACTCAGTCTCACTTTCGGATAATCTGATCAGTGTCGCTGGAGTCGGCTCAGCCGTCTTCTTCCGCCATCTCCACCCCTTCTCTTACCCTGACTGGAGATCCATCAAAAGGTTAATATATATATATATATATATATACACACACACACACACACACACACATACATATCCTTTGTATAGACACAGGGCACTCCTCTGAAAATCTCTTTTCCGCAAAGAGAAGTAAAAATATTTAATTACTAGTTTTTACTTGAAGGTTCTTGTCTTCAACATGTCCGTTGATTCGTGCTTATGGTGCCATCCGCTTCGATGCCAGTGCGAGTGTATCACCAGAATGGGAAGCTTTTGGTTCTTTCTACTTCACGATTCCTCAGGTACAGAAATGGGTTTTCTCATATTAACAAGTTTTTGCAATTTCTATAGTTTGTGTTTATAAGACTTGGTGCTAGATGATGAATAACAGGTTGAGTTTGATGAGCTTGAAAGGGGTTCAATGCTTGCCGCAACTGTTGCATGGGACAATGCTCTTTCATGGACCTGGGAAAACGCCATTAACGCACTTCAATCTACTCTACAACAGGTCCCCTTAATTGGGTATGACATTAATTTTATTTGAATTCAGTTCTCTTCCTTACCTATGATCTATAATGCAGGTTTCTTCCATTGTAGTCAAGCTAAGGAAAGAAGCTTCAAAAACTTTCATTTTAAGCAATAATCATATTCCCAGTAAGACACACTGGCATCTTGCTGTTAAGAGAGCTTTGGAGATTATAAACAAAAGTAGCTCACCACTCCTTAAGGTATTCAATGATTTACACATGTCAAACTTCTTTTCCATGTTTAATTTTCTCGGATGAGTTGAAATTGATTTGGAGAAATTAGGTTGTGCTTGCTCGTAGCAGCAGGGTTCTAACTGCTACCAATATTGACCCCATAACATGGTTAGCATGCTTACAGGTACCTGTAATTTGTCCTTGTGGTTTAGTTGCTCGCTCTTGTTGTATATCATATTATAAAAAGTCAATATTGTTTGTGCTTGACCTATGCTTTTGCAGGTTGAAGGGGAAAATGCTTATCAGTTTTATCTCCAGCCACCTAATGCACCGGCTTTTATTGGAAACACGGTAACTATCACCTTACAGATTTGTTACAAAATATTAAATCGATTTCTATCCAGCCTTTAGGGTATCTTTAATCCATGATTTTGTTGTTGAATGGGTGATTGGTGATATTAAAGTTGGATTTAAGTCCTCTCTCTTTCTTTTAAGGTATAGTTTTTATTACAGATGCTGAGGTCAAATGGCTTTTTTCTTTTTCTTACTTGAACATTGTGAATAGCCAGAGCAACTTTTTCACAGAAAACAGCTTAGCATTAAAAGTGAGGCTTTGGCTGGAACTCGTGCCAGAGGTGGCTCAAAATCTGTAGATCTTCAAGTAGAACTTGACTTACTTTCCAGGTTATTGTTACTTTAAGCTAGTTAGAAAATTTTCATTCCTTTGGATATTTGACTATATTCATACTGCAAATAATTCTAACAGCTTGTTTGAAACTAATGGCAGAGATATTGAATCTAATCTATCTCTTTAATTTGTGCAATTTGCAGTCCAAAAGATCACCTTGAGTTTACTATTGTGCGAGAGAGCATAAGAAGAAAGTTAGAGGCAAGTATATTTGGGTGACATTGTTACTTAAGTTGTGCCTTATGGAGGCCTAGAACTGAGAAAAGGAAGAGTATTTATGTCTGTTATAGTGCTACTCCGTTATCATCAAGGCTTTTGATATTAGTCTTAAAACATGTAAAGACGCATGCGATGCTTTGGGCTCCAGGCTAGTTGACTAATTACAATATACTAGATTTTGCTGGAAAGTTTCCTTCTCATTTTAGAGCTATGTTCAAGAAAGCAGCAGTGTCAATATGGTTTCATGATCATTTCTCTTGCGTTCTGCTTTTGCAGGCCGTATGTGATATGGTAGTGGTTGACCCAGAAAAAGCAATAAGAAAACTCCCTCGAGTTCAACATTTATATGCCCGATTAGATGGTACATTAAGAAGTGAAGATGATGAGGTATAGATGATGTAGTTACAATCTATTCTTCTATGATAAACCCTTATTCAATGTCTGATCAAATCTTCTAAAAGATATCTTAAGTAGGTTTCCTTATTAGTTTATGGAAGGATTTTATGTTTGTTTTCTCTTGATTTTTAGTTGACTTTTTCAATTTTTTGTTCTCTCTCAGTTTAATATCTTGGACTCTCTTCACCCTAGTCCTGCAGTTTGTGGATTTCCAACAGAAGAAGCACGGCTTTTAATTACCGAAACTGGTATCTATACATTCCACTTTATATTTTTGGGTTTCAACTATTTGGAGTTTTTATTTTTCTTTTGAATTCTTGATATTCTTTGGTTACTATACTAGCATTGTGTTCTGGAGAAAACAATCTGTTTTCATAACTAAATTTGACCACAAAGAGCCTTGGAATTCTTTCTTGAGTCCCATTATGTTGA